GTACTAATGTGCTGGACACAAATGATGTATGTACGGATTGTGATGAGTTGTATGAGCCCCTAATAAAATGATTATTTAATAATAATAAAAAAAAGGGAAAAAAAGAACTGCTACTAGAATTCTAGTTCATACATGCATAGGTTTATTCCAAACAATACATGTTTAAGCATGTATGAGATCAGTGGATGGCTGCAGATTTGTGCTCCCAGTAATCGACTTGCCTTAATTTACAAAAGACAGTTTATAATATCTTCCCAAAAAGAGATACTTTGTAACCATAGGGTGGAGGTGGTTCCCAATTTTGAGGTCAGGGATAGTATTAAATTTTTACCAAAACTCAAGTGGATATCTTCCCAAATCAATGATGATTTGTGACAATCTTATGGGAATGCAGTCCGCATAAACCCACATTTTTGGATGAACCAAGCATCTTAAGGAAGGTTGAGAAGACCACATGCTTAATTCAAGGCAGAGAGGTCAGTTCAGAAGGTCATGGAGACCGGTTTGGGGGGCTCCAAAGTGACGACAGATGTTCTTGAGGAGCACAGGGTAATCACAGTGTCTAAGTGAAAATTGAGGGCAACCTACTAATTATTTGAGGGCAACCAGGATGATCTTTCCCAAATTTTTTTGTGGAGCTCTTACCCCACCCAACCACCCTCCACCCCTGCTTTTGCCTCCCAGACATCTTTTCATTAACCAAACTCAAAGGAACATGGTTGAGTCTCATGAGGATGCCCAGCCGCCAATTGGGTGCGGTTTAAGTCCGCCCAGGGGTCTTTGGGGAGGGTGAGAAAGATGAAAACAACACCTTCGAAAGTGGACAGAGCGAGATGGAGGCATGTCAAGAAATAATAGCTTCATAGCTTGATAATTTTGTTTAATAAGGATTTCTATGATTTTGTACCAATACTTTTTGGTTTACCCTTGTATAACTAGAAAAAACCTTAAAATTAAAACTGATATATTTATAACACACCTGTTGAACATTCTATCTGCATTATCAAATCTTCCATTCTGTAAACACAGCATATACTCTGGTGCTAGAGAAACAAAATCAACACCGTTAAATCAGATCAAAGAATCATTTAACCTAACTGGAATAAAATTTAAATGGGGTGATGATACAGATTCTTACCAATCCTAACAAGATAAAACAACACATAGCCAGGAGAAGAGTAGTGACTTCCATACATGAATTTTGGCTCTGGCATTTCCTGGTAGCGTGTCTATAATAAATGAAAAACGCAGTGTTAGCTAAAGTAACAGAAGTCTAAAAGAAATCATGCTATAGATATACTATACTCCTTATATTCTCTCCTTAATAGGCAAATGAGAAGACTAAAGGAAAAAAATCTGTGAATAAACACAGTATCCCTAGAACAAGTATCCTAGTTTCTTGCCTCAGTCATACAATATAGGGGCTGAGTGAACAGAATTGACCTATGTAGTTCTTATGTAATTTAAGGAAGCTTGTTGGTACAGTGGGTTGAATATTAGACTATGAGCTGCAAGGTCAGCAGTTTAAAGCCACCAGCTGCTCAAAAGGAAAAAATGCGGCTGTCTGTTCCTGTAACGATTTAGTTTTGAAAATCTTATGGAGTATTTCTACTCTGTCCACTATGAGTTGGAATCAATTCAATTTACCACAAAGCACTTCCATGAAAATAAGACAGTGAACTTGTTTACAGGTCACTCCCTGGGTTGTAAGCAACAAATAAAAATGGTGAGCAGCTATATGCAAAGGTGAAGGAACATTTATTGAGTCAACGTAAATTTACTCCTGAAAATACAGTATTACATATCACATAATCTTATAATTATGTATTATCAATCAAATCTCCACTTCTCCACATTTCAATGATCTATATCAGCTGTTCATGCAGCCGGTACTCAGTCGGTACTCTCTCTGCCTCTGGGCATCCAGAGATAGGTCAGATCTCACAAAGTAAAAGCACACTTTCTTTCAGATTGCCAAAAAGGCCAATGAAAGCTACCTAGTCAAGAGTCCCAAAGGGACACTTACTTCTGACTTGTTGGCCGTTAATTTCAAGGGTTTTCTACTAATCCCTGAGAGAGGGCTTTTTTCATGAATTTTGTTTTGATCACATATTAAGATGATACTAAGTTTAAAAAACCCTTTTAATCATTATCATTATTGCCCTAACTTCTCATGTGAACATATTTCTAGAACACATAGGCTGAGTGATCTAGTGGTGTATGTTTTGTTAACTCGAACTTAGGATAAGAGAATTGGCCATGAGAAAAATAAGAAAGGTATATGAGTTCATGGATTAAAGAGAGTGCTGCTAGATAAATGTTTCCTTTAAGAACATTAATATTATCTGAAGGGGAATGGGTAGCCATGTCCCAGGCTGTAAATCCTGTGGCTCAGTCAAATATAGATTATACTCCCAGACGGGAAGGCTATTATACTATGGGGGAAAAATGAAAACAAGACAAATGTGCTGACGTCCCCAGGAGTATAAATGTCGCAACAGTGTGTAGAAAAATAAGGCAGTCTTGGAGAATCTACCCACTGTCCTTTCAGTTCCGTTAATCAAACACACATTGATTCTCACCCTGCTCTGTGATTGGATGCAGTAGCTTGTATTTAGATTCTTAATCTTCATGAATCCCTGGTGGCCTAATTCTCAGGCTGCTAACTGCAAGGTTGGGGGTTCAAAGCCCCTAGCCACTCCTCACAAGACCGATAAGGCTATCTGCTCCCATAAAGATGTATAGCCGTGAAGCCTCAGAAAATATATGGTCACGGTGGACTCAGTGCCACTGGGTTTATACTGCTCTTTCAGGATGCACGCTGACAAGTTCAGGGACCTCCCCTGGGCCTTCGCACTTTCACTTACTAGATGCCACTACTCCCTTGGGTTTGCTAATTATCTGGAACAACTTAGAGAAATAACCAGAAATAAGTACAGTATAAAAGTTACTGTAGGTATGTTACATGCTTGCTTATTATTATAGCACAGGGATGCAAATCAAGACCATCATAAAGAAAAGATGCATGGGCAAGTTGGTTAAAAGTCCTCAATGCAGAACCTTCATATCCCAAAGAGGATGCATTACCCTCCTTTTGACAAAGAGGCTCCTGGAGCCTCTGTGTTCAGCACTTCTGGCTTCACTGCAGTCACCTCTGAGGCCTCACCGCACATAAGTGGTAAGTTAAACCATGCTTGCTGAGGTTAGGTGGTTTATCAGGCTACTTGGCAGTTTTTCTGGCCCGAGTAGCACCTACTCCTTAAAATAAATTTGCAGGTGTGGTCTACAAAGGCACCTCAATTATTAAGGAAACTCCAAGCGGAATCTCTTAGGAACCAATGATAAAGGTCAAATTCTTTATCTGCAGGTAGTTCATTACCACAGAGAAAACTATTCTGTGGGCTCTTTAGTCACTCCTATGAATCTCCTCTGTTTTAGAATAATACACGACATGATTCAAAAAAGCAGGTGGAATCCAACAGGCTCGAAGAGTACCACATACCAGAAGCCTCTCCAGTCTTTCCTTATTGAGCGCCCCAACCGGCTTACTAAGATCCCGAAAGGTTCTTGGATTTGACAAATCTATAAAAGTAAAGGAATACATAATTCCAGCTTGTGCTTGATAACATTACCCCCTAATTCATTCGTATGCAAATGTTTATCTTACTTATTCCCATAACATAAATACCTTTATAAAACTTGAGATAGGTATCTAAGAATTACCATACTTCCACTGGCTGCTTAAATGGAACTTCTGCTTAGAATGTTTTGAGTTTTACGTCAGCAGCCCAATTATGCAGTATTTAGTATTCTAATTTAGTAACACCTATTAATTATTTTAAAGTCTGCTTAGACAAACCAAGTAAAACAGTGGGAAAAAAATTTTTTAAATCTTCTACCAAGATTTACTAAGTTGGATTATATAAACAGTGGCATAATGTTAGAATTCAGATACCTGAATATTGTTAAAAAAAAAAACAAACAGTTTTGGAAAGGTTGCTTTCTCTTACAAGTACAAGAATTTGATATAGCTAATTGTTCAAGTACATCTATTGTTAATTATACATAACGTTAAGACTACAAAAGAAAATTAGAATATAACATACTTGTTAAAACAGAGAAGTTAAAATAGTTATCACTCAGAAATGTGATTATGACTCATTTTTATTTCTTTGTGATTATTTCAGTACTTTACAAATGCTCTATAACAGTTGTTACTTTTGGTAACCATATTTTCTAATGTAATCTTTAAAGTAATAGGGTATATATACCAAGTCCTATTTTCAAAGTGAGAAACCTGTATGTTTCAAAAGGTGGTATTTGCAGATAATACTGCTGACAGTATGATGTGCATACTTGCTGTGCCTTTCCCCAAACAAGTAAGAAAGTTCCTTTTTTGTTATATTAACACATAATAGCCAGTATCTTACAATGGAGATGGGCAATCTTGAGCAATACAATTCAAATGGGTTTCACATATCCCATCATGACTCCAAAAGATAATTGATTCTCTCCTTTAAAACCAATAGGGATTACCACTTTAAACTCAGCTATATTTGAATTCATTCATGGTCTTTACCTAGTACGGGACTGGAATAGTCGTTTATTATCCATGGAAACACAGGATACTGAGAAAGGTCATTGCAACTCCGGTCGGCCAGGTTGTTGAGGTGCAGCAGATACTGGTAGTTAGAAAGGTGTCCTCGCTGCCACTGCAACATGTAGCTCTCGGCAGTGTGCTCTGCTACGTGGTGTTCTAGAGGAAAACGGAGGCCGGAAAGCTGACCACTTAATTTTTCAAATAGTTTGCTAATTTTTAATTAACCTGTAAAATCTAGATGCTTCAGATATAAGCCATTCAATAGACTTTTGAAAAATACATTTTAAGAAAAGCAAAGTAGGCTAAAATCTTGTTTTTTAAGCAGTGCAACTACTCCATTAAACATGAATTAACATCTCTAAGACCCAATGGGGGAGATTATTAAATTATCTGTAATTATTATCTAATCCCTAAAATATGATATAACCTACCCAAATATGATAGTGTGGGAAAAATACATAAATATTTTCATGGTAATATACTTACTATATTACATATAGTCAACAATATATCTTTAAAAAAAAGGACTTACAAATGTGCCTTAATTTTACTGGCTTTAAGAAACTGGCCATCTATGAAAACGTTTATGTTAGCTAAGCTTTTTTGGGGGGGTGGGGGGTGGGTTAAAATAAAAATAAAACAATAATTTAGTTTTCTTTTAGATGTGGAATTTGTCATTGACTATATATTATTCATTCATGTGAGAAATAAGAAAAAGAAAGGAAACTGTTAAATGAGAAATGGTTAATAGCAGGAAGGACACATTTCTACATTTCTTCATAAAGGCCATTCCCAGAAATACCTCACTAAAAATGGAATTACATACAGCAAGGCAGGAGCCTTGGTGGTATGGTGGATATGTGTTGGTCTACTAACCGCAAGGTCAGCAGTTCAAATCCACCAGCTGCTCTGAAGAAGGATAAGGCTTTCTCCTCCCACATGGTCTGGTCTCGGAAACCACAGGGCAGTTATCCCCTGTCCTATAGAGGTGCTACGAGTGGGAAGTCATCGATGGCAGTGAGTGGTGTAACAGGACACTGAAATTAACTCTCCTTTCAGAGAGACGCTAAAAAGAAGTCAACTGTCCTAAAAAAAATTTTCTTTTTGCTTAGAAAATTTGTTTTTAACCTTTTATTAGCTGCAGCAAGCAACTTCTCCAACACATTTGTTGATTTAATATTGACTTTTATCAAATTTCTTCTTTAATCAGCTACTATGCTTTAAAAATGAAAATGCATATTGCACTCTGTTCTATTCTTGAAGCACCACAGGAAAAAAGCATAAACGATCTTAAGAATAAGCATAAAAAGAACTAGCAGCTTTATATTGCACACTTGCTAGATTATGGCTAAGGTTTGGAACTTTAAACTTGAAGGCTCACCATAAAAGTTGAGTTTTTTGTTGTAATCTTGCTATAGTTAGAAAAAGAAAATAAACTGGGGAGGAAGGAGATGAGGAAACCTGTTCCCAACGTAAACCTGCTTTAAGTGGGAGCAAAAGTGGAGGCCTGGGCTAGCGAAAGAGGCAAGAATGGCTTCCTTATACAGGCCTTCTCTCTTAACAATCACTAAGCTATTTCATACAGAACCAGCATCGTTTTGTGGACTGTACCTTGTCCTAGGGACTACATTCCCCAGAACCCCCTGCTACCTGACATCATCTAGTGGGAACAAAGCATGTCCATACAGAAGTTCCAAGAGTCTAACCCATAGGAACCTTTAAAAAAGGCAGGCATATATGCACAGAATGAGTAAGCCAATATATCTGTGGTACTATATACGACTTCCTCCTTGTAAGAGCCTCTTACAATATTCTGCAGTGAAACTTTTTATTGGCAAAGATAAGAACCTAATTCTGATAACACCCCCAAACCTAACTCACTGCCATCAAATGGATTCTGACTCATAGTGACCCTACAGGACAGGGTGGAACCGTCTCTGGGAGTTTCCGAGACGGTAACTATTTATGGGAGTAGAAAGTCCCGTCTTTCTCCATCGGATTTCGTGGCTAGCAGCCTAATGCACAGCCACGATACCACCAGGACTCCTCCAATTTCAGTAATGTAAGTAAATCTAAAAAGCTAATTAAGAGGTGAAAAATCTAGCTCAACTACAAAATGAGAATTTTTATTGAAAGAAAACGATTCCTTCTTATGAGAAAATGTCATTGCTAAAGGATAATATACATTGTATATAAAATGTATCACATAAATAGTATCACTGTTGACTTGAAGAGCAAACAAAAGTTAGGATTATATTAATAAAATTCCAACATCCATTTTTAAAAATCAGTCTAATCGTCCAGCAACTTTGTTAATATTTTAATTTAGCTAGGCAGCTTAATACAAGCTTATGCTTAAAACATACAGCTGTTCTAATAGAGGTCGACATTTTCCAAAGGCGGCGGCAGAAACACTATGAATTAAAAGAACTTCTAGTACCAGGATACGATACTCTCATATTCCTTTTGCTTTGCTTCTTGGTTTTGTGATGATGATTCCAATCAATCATCACAAACATATGACTGGATAAGTCATATTAAATATTGAATCTTCGTTTCCATAAATTAACCCTTCCAAGAATTCTGCACTTTTTGATTTAAACTTCAACGTGGCAGGTTTGATAACTTAAAATACTCAAATAATGTTCTTTTTAAATGTTCTTTGCATTGAGAGTGGGAGCCCTGGTGGAATAGTGGGTTAAGACTGGGTTGCTGACCAAAGGGGCACCAGTTTGAACCCACCATTTCTTTCTGCAGAAGAGGAAGTAGTCGGCTTCCACATATGAATTGATAGCGTTGGAAACCCCATGGAGCAGTTCTCCTTTCCAGGGGGAATGCTCTGAGTTGGAACTGGCTCAACAGCAGTGGGTTTGAATTTGGGGAACAAAAGAAGTCTGATGGGGCAAAATCAGGAATGCAAGTTGGATGGGGTAAGATTTCTCACTGAAATGCTCACTGGACAGTGCCTGCTACCCGTGAAGAATGCACAGGTCTATTGTGATAGAAAAAATGATCCTTGGCACAACTTTTTTGGCCTCTTTCTTGTTTTATAGGCATACAATTCACATATCATGAAATTCAATAGTTTAATCATTTCAAGAAGAGTTCTACAATCATCACCACAATCAGATTTAGAAAATTTTCTTTATTCTTGTATGGCAGGGGAGGCTGAGGGGAAATGAGTAGCTAATAACCATGTGTACAATAATGAAGATAATGTTCTTGGCTTTTTTCTAATCCATGCAGTTTTCCATTTTCTTAAAACTTCCTCATAAGCCCCTGTGACCATCCTGTAACCCTGGAGAGAATCTATCATGATAATCCCAATACACAGTTGCCATAACTTTATGAGCTGACCTGCTTGTGTGTAATTTAGCTGACCCAGCAGATCTCTTTGGAAGCCTCTGTTCTGATTAGATATCTCTTTTGCAGGCACCTTAACAGAAGCAAGCCTAGGACTGCAAGAACTTGTCTGCAGCCATCCAGTGATCACAAAGGCATGTTTAAACAGTTTTCATTTGGGATAATGCAATGTATGTATAAACTAGAAACCTAGTATAAATATTGTTTATTTGCCATCATATTTAACAACAGTTCTTAAAACACACTTGTAATTAACTGTTAAACTTTTGGCAGCCACAGCTACTGATGAAAAGATACTGAGGGTTATTTCTAGAGACTACCTTTTTTGTTTTAAAGAGCCTGTCCCAGTTACTCAGGAATTGAGTGGCAATAACAAGAACAAAAATAATGAAGAGTAAGCACCAAACCTAGATACGTGGCAATATAATAATAGAGGTCATCTCTCTCTTGAGGTTCATAGAATTTTAAGTAGATATCGGAACATAGATCATCTTCTGTGCAAAATACTTCTAAGCCCTATAAGTTCAGAAAGAAAAGAATAAATCAAATACATTATATTCATGTTGAAACCCAAATATAAGCTACACAATTGCCAAAGCCTTTCAGTTAAACATTTGTATTTCCGATTTGCCTATTTTTTCTTCATTCTTTCAAGCTGGATTTGACTCACACAGTGTATTTTAAAGTTCCCCTAAAACAAGACACATCTCTTCGCCAAATTTTAAAAAGTCTTCTTTGGAATTGAGCTTTTTGGTGATAGCTTTTGAGAACTTATTATGTTGAAATTAGCTGATACATGTCTTCAGATCTTTCTTCAAACATAAATGCTCACTTTTCAAATGAATTAAATAATGAGGTACACCTAATAAATTTATAATGAAGACCCCAGTCCTGATTACCTTTTAGGAAAACACAAGTTTTTGTGAATACTGTGCTGCTAAGGCCAGGAAAGGGCAGAAATAAGCCAAAGAGGTTATGATGACAATAAAGTGCTGGCATATAGAAGACATTTAATCAGTGTTAATTTCTTCCTGAGTGCATTTCACTTCCCGAACAAGACTTTTAAAAAGTTTCTGCTTCCCTGTGCTCCATTAGCATTGGAAGCATACAGTCACCTTTAAGTAAAAATAGGCAGCCCAACAGTGACAGTGCACAAATATGAAACTTAATTAGATGCATAAAATGCCCCAGTGCTTTGGTAATAACATTGTTATTGGTTAATCTCAACGAAGAAAAATAAATGTATACTGATGTCAAATTCAAACACCATGGAATTATACCTTATGTGGAGGTTCATTTATAAAGTAAGCACTTAAGACCAATATAAATATGATCACCTGCGGAGTCAGAGGACTGGGGAAAGGGCTGCTTATATGATTTAAGGGGTTATTTTATCCATTCTCCTCCATCACCAAGGCTAAAGGTTGAATTAATCTAAGTTAACTATGAATATTCTACAATCAACTAAAACCTATTTTAATTTGTGATTGTGCTATAGCGAGGGGGTGATGAGCAGTGCTGGATTCCTTCTGCCTGTGTTACTCTAGTATCAGTCCCTGCACTCCGAGAAAACAGGAGTGCAAAGTTCAAGGACACTCCAGCCTTCTTGCTCTTGGAGCCAAACGCATTTTCACAATAACTCTCTCAGTTATGGGATGGAAGTATCATTTACACTCACCAAAGGCATGAGGCCATGTCTCCTTTTGTAAATCCGACGGATATCCTGGAGTGTTATTTGGACCACAGGTTTCTTTAAAAACAAAATGACAACCACTAACATCAACATGCTGACACAATTAATAGCTCCTCTTTATTATCAGAAATGTAAGAAATGACCAAAGCTTGCCTTTCTCAGGCATTACACATAAGTAAGCACTTGGGCAAAGAAAGCCAGGAACAAAGCGTACCTGGTTTCATGTTCCGGTATGCCACGCTGCACAGGTTTATGACCTTGGCAAGCCCTGTCCCACCCGCCTGCCCACAGAGATCATCACACAGTGACTTATCTTTCAGGTTACTTCAGGTTACTTTCTGTTTACAAGGCTACTGCATGATAAGGACAAGGAAGATTAGATGCTTGCTGTAGATAACCTCTCAGCATTGTTCCTCTTTTTGACCAATTATTTGCTAAGCACCAATACATTTTTTAATCCTATCTTCATCTCCTTAGACATTACAATGTATTAAGGCTCATAAATAACTGTAATATAAAGCACTCCCTGGAAACCTTTTCTCAATTTATCAAGAGGAAAAATCTAATGGCTCTGTAGAGCCTGAAAACACTTGTATGAGAGAAAGTTGTTTATAAAGGCCCTAAAATCAGCTAACCAGTCACACGCCCACATTTGTCCTCCCTAGTAAAAGTGCGAACACGCTGACAGAAGCCACGTTGTCCGGCTGTGGAAAGCATCCTAAAGATTCAAGCCAGATCTTGGAAACTGCTGTTCAAGGATTTCTAGGCATTTGGGAATGGAATAAATGCTCATACTATGAAAATTTCCAGAAGTTTTTGATCCAAGCCAATTCATTATCTACTAGAGAATACTTACCCACCAAGGTGTGCTATGTACATGGAAGGACTTGACCAGCTTGCCTACCCCTTTGTGGATCCAATAATAATAGGACTATTTTTCATTCACCAAAGTATGAGATGTTCAGTGATAGCTAATGATCAACCTGGAGGACTTCCCAAATGTAACCTTCTATACCAGAAAAGATTGATTTTTTTTTATAGCTACCTTGCCAATGGCCCCAGTGTACAATCAGAATACATTCGAGGTTCTGGTCTTAGAATAAGCCACTCTAAATAAGAGATATAAATAGAAACCTTGACAATCTACAAACCTTTGAAAGCTCCAGGGTAGAAGCCTGGCTTAATCTTACTTTCTGGAACACTAAGACAGGAACAAAAATAAGGAAGCAAACAGCTGTTGTTGAATGCATTCCAACTGAGGGCAATCTCACATGTGTCAGAGCAGAACCGAACTGTGGTCCATGGGCTCTCGAGACTATAACCACACAGAAGCAGACCACCAGGGCTTTTTTCCAAGGTGCCTCTGGGTGGGTCTGAACTGCCAAGCTCTTGGATAGGCGTCAAGCATTTTACTTCTCCAATTGTGAATGAGAAGATTATTTTACATCACTGCGTGTCCCTGTTTTGCACACTTCCTTGAAAAAAGATTCAGATCTACTTAATTTCTTTACAAAGGAGGCAAATAGGGAAATATCAATAAATGTGTACCTATAAATACACACACAGACACACATCCTCCAGTTCCTTCTGATTCTTAATACATTTCATTGATCTCTTCCACATTTCTTTGTATAAAGAGAACACGTCCCCTAGGGACAGAAAATGGATCAGAAATGCTCAAACTGCTGAGTGTGCAGAGGATGATGTAGGGAGCCTATAACACAGACACTGGTTGTGAGAGGAATGATTTTGTGGATTCGGTAAATCGAAGTCAATCTCAGGGAAAAGGGCTTATGTTAGCATTCCAGTACAGAAGTAGCTCTTTAGCAGGATCCATAGCTAGTCCTTACCGGGTGCCCATTGAGAGGCTGGAAATACAGGTTTGCGTCTGTGATGCACACGTGCCCAGGGTTAGTCACCAGAGGCGTCACCATCTCTGCTTTACATTCCATGTGCAGCTTTTCAGAAACGTTTTGGAATCTGAGGATATTTTTCAGCAAAAGCAAGAATATTCAGAAGTCAACTGAAGTCCGTTCTCATTCTGCTTCATAATTATTCGTATCACAAAAGAAGGTCTGAAACCAGTGATCAGCGCGTTCTTAAGGTGGACAAAGGGCAAACTAAACCCAAAGCAAACATTTGGCAAGAAATTGTAAAAGTGTAATAAATTTCATAGAAAACAGAACAAATAGAGCATATCCACAAAGTTGGTTATTTGTAAAGGTTAATAAGATTGGTCATGGTGATTTAAAAAAAATAGTGTCTAAAAAAAAAAGATACAACAATGGAAGAAATGAAATAGAAATTAAAGATCCTATAGGCATTTAAAGTATATTAACAATAAACAACAAGAATTTTTAAAAAGAATATAAAAAGATACTCAACATCATCAGTCATTAAGGAAACACAAACTAAATTCCACTAGAATTTCATATCCACTAGAATATTTATGAAAGGGGAAGAATATTAATAACAAGAGTTAAAGAGGATGTGGAGAATTTGGAACTCGCATGATGCTGGTAAGCCTGTAAAGTGGTGCAGCCATTGTGGAAAATAGTTCAAGAACTCTTCAAAAAATAAAACATAGAATTAACATATGACCCTGAAATTTCATTCCTATGCATACCAAAAAGCAGTTAAAAACAGTGATTCAAACATGCATGTGTACATAAAAATTTAAAGAATGTTTAATTCACTATTAGCAAAAGATGGAAAAACTCAAGTGTCCACAGATAAATGGATGAAAAAATATGGTATAAACATACAATATTAATATTACTCAACCATAAGAAAGCAATGATGTATGCTGCTACGTACTAAATGTAGATAGACCTCCAAAACATTATGCAACGTAAGAGACACACAAAATATGATTCTGTTACATGAAATATTAAGAATATATAAATTTGTACAGATAGAAAATAGATTAGTGGTTACCAAGGACCGGGAGAAGGAATCAATGAAAAGTGAATGCTTAATGGTGCCTTCTTTGAGGATGTTCTGGAACCAGATAGAGGGGGTAGCTACACAACATTGTAAATGTATTTAAATGGCACTAGATTGTGTGCTTTAAAATGGCTAATTATGTCATGTAAATTTTATTTAAATGAAAAATTAAACAAAGTGTACATAAAGGACTCCACGCCAGTAAAATTGACAAATGAAATGGAAATTTTTTTTTACCAAAACAGACACAAGAAAACATGGACAACTAAAATAGTCAATAAAATAAATCTCAAAAAACAGAGTTGGCCTAGATTGCTTCACCATTAAATTCTATGGAAAAACTAAGGAAAAACTATAATCCCTAACAATTTTTCCAGGAACAGAGGATAAGGAAACATCTCCAAACTCATGAGGTCATATACCTCAAATACCAAAGTCTGATGAAAACATTACAAAAGAATTACGGAGTAATAGCTCTAATGAGTATGGAAGTAGAATCATTAACAAAATATTTCCAATATAAACCTATCAATATATAAAAAGGATCATGATCAACTTGGATTTGCTTCATAAATATAAGGCTATATTGATATTTTAAAAAACCAATCAATATAATTATAATATTACTAAAGATGGAAACATAATCATCTCAGTAGATACAAAAAAGTAAATGACAAACTCTACACTTATTATTAAAAGTACCCTCAGCAGAGTAGGTACAAACTAGAACTCCTTCATTCTGATAAAGGGTATTTACAATAAATCTATAGTATAGCTAGCATCATATTTAATGGCAAACATTATACCCTTTTCCTATAAGATCAAGTGATATCCAATCCCATCACACCTAATCATTAACTAGTACAATGATGTAAGAAATTGACATAAAAGTAATAAAGATGAGAAAGAGTGAAATTCATTATTCACAGATTACACAATTAAATACATGAATACCATATGGAATTTAAACTCACCGCCATCGAGTCGATGCGGACTCATAGTGACCCTATGGAATTTAGGGAGGTAGAACTCACTAGAATTTAGATAGAATACAAGGTCAATATACAAAAATGAAATGTATTTCTACATACTAGCAATAGAAGATTCTGGGGAGATAATGGCTAAGCAGATCTTTGTTTCAATCCTTGCCCACATACACAAGAAATACAATGAGGAAATGATACTCGGCTTTGAGGAACTCTGAGTCGGGAAGCAGAAGAAAGCATGGGGAACTATAGAAAGCAAAGAATCAATCAATCAATCAATCAATCAATCAATAGCTTCTCCCACCAATCTTCCCCATCCCAAGTTGGCTACCGGCAACTGTCAACTGCAGTAATGTCAGCAAGGAGAACCTGCCTGCACGGAGGCAGGAGGCCAGGCTTCTGGTTTCAACCATTAAGGCAGACTTCCACAGGGGTCCATTTGAATTGTGCCAGAATTTCCCCTACCTGGAGACACTGTTGGCTATATGGCCTACTTTACACGGCTAGAAAAGGTCTCTGTCTAATTCAAGATTCTACTATTAGCCTCCCTACCTAATAGCTCAAGACCTCTGAAATCAACAGGATAGCCCTTTTCAGACTCAGTTCTGGTCTGCTCCCCTACTTCAGTTGGTGCTTAGGACAACTGACTGAAATTGTGGTGTGCTAGGAAGCAGGCATTTTTAGTGGAGGCTACACCCAAGCCAACATATTACAGGGCAGATCTCGGGGAACAAGGCAAATGTCTCTGAAATCCATGCAGAATGTGTTAGCACTTCACCCATCAAGCATTGTCAGCTGCAAGCCCACGTTGGACTGCCACAGAAGGTTCTGTAGTCAAGTCTGTTCCCAGATTTAGCACTCTACCTGCTAACCCTGGTACCTCATATCTCCGATCTCCAGAACAGGGCAAACTCCATTAGAGGTCAACTAGGATTAGTCTGCCCCTACTTCTGGCTGGCACTAAGGACTGATGACTGCGGCGGTTGTGAGTTACAAAATAGGAAACCTGAAAGTGGACCACACACTTAAAATCTAACTAAGGGAGACTGGCAGCAACATGGCAGACCCCCATGGGGGATCTAAGCAGAACCTGATACTCCTCCCTCGGCTGGTAACCATTGGCTGCCAGGCTGCTGCAACTATAGGCCTTCACAGTAGCGTCTGCTCCCACAGTCACACTACCTGCTTCTAGGTGTGTTTCCCATATTTTGAGCCTTTGAAATCAACAAGGCACATCTCCCTGTAGCCAAGGTTGTCTTCTACCTGAGAAATGTGGTGTCCCAGGAAACTGGCAACTTGAGACTATACTCACAGACAACATACTATTGGGGGGGACCCAACAGCAACATGGTAAACCTCCATGGTGGTACATACATACATACATTAGAGTGTGACCACCCCACCTCAAGCAGTATCTGTGGGCTACTTGACTGATAAACTTTTACACCCACAATGAAGTCAGGAGATAAGTTATCTAAATAGAGACTGTGTAGTGTCCGATAGAATTCTTAGGTTTTCGGGGGGGTGAGGGAAAAATGAGGAGCTGACACCAAGGGTTCGAGTAGAAAGCAAATATTTTGAGAATGATGAGGGCAACAAATGTACAAACGTGTTCGACACAATGAATGTATATATGGATTGTTATAAGAGTTGTACGAGCCCCCAATAAAATGATTTTTAAAAATTCTTAGGTTTTCTTTCGCTTTGGGGGTATTCTTTTATAGCTTGATTTTTTTGTATTTTGGTCTTGAGAGATTTGTTGTCGCGATCACAGATTCTTGATTCCATTGTTTCAGTTCCCAGTTAACCCCTTGTGATAGTTAAGTTTATTGCGCCAACCTGGCCAATAGAAACGTGGGATTAATCAGGTGGCAGTTTGATTGGAGGGCAAAGAGATAAATGGCTCTGCAAGGTATGGCCCCCACCCTCCACTTTTGCTTTCTGGTGATCGGACCAGTGTGCTACTGCTTTAGCTAGTTCTCTGCCTCAACCTGTGAGCTACACTTCTTGTGGACCAAGCCAACCTGTGGTTCCTGTTACTAGAGCTTAAGGCTCCTTCGATACCTGCTTCCCCGCACTGCTGGTGCGTACATAGCTTGAGCTTGAGGCTGGTGGATCCTGTCACCTTGCATTACTTGAGTTCGATATCCCATCCAGCATTGCTTGAGTTGGATATCCCATCCAGGCCTGCTTCACTAAGCTCCCAAACTACTGACTGTTGCTAACCCCCTCTGCTGTTTGCTGCCTCTGGGCAGACTCTGCCTGCCTGCCTGCCTAGCCTGAGGAATGGTTAGCTGTCTGCTTCCTTGACCTTAGACCCGGCAGGCCATGTGAGTCGAAGGACTTCCAGTATATCAACTGTTCCACAGAAGTCAGTTGAGCTGAGCCCTCTCTGTACTGCTGTATGGACTAATTAGCTGTTATAGGTATAAACCTATCCATACATATATAATGATAGTGTCCTGGCTTTGTTTCTCTACAGAACCTTGCCTAACACACTGCACTCCAATGAAGTTCTAATATAGCCTGGTCCCCAAGAGTTCAGCCAGTTATTGGGAGCCAGCTTACAGCGATCTAAAACTCCCCTATCCAACTAGAACACAGTTATTAGGTTGGAACCTTCTCAGGCCCAAAGCACATGAGCCTGTGTGAATCTTCCCACTTAAGGTTGGACTCGATCTCCACCAAAGTATGTTGGAGGAGAAGTATTGGTGACCTCCAAGGTGTTAGGTGTGAGTGAGAAGGAGAGAAGCCAACAGCTCACTTCCTACTTAAGCAATACACAAAGTGAAATAGAACTACATGAATCAAAATTAGATATCACAGATAACATTTCTACAACAAAGACAATGACAACAACACACACACAACAGAGAGAGAAGGGCAGATAATTAATAGTCAAATGGAGAAGATATAAAGTCAGTTGCAAAAGAATAATTTGTTATGAATTTGGAAAGAAATTCCATAAAAAACAATCATCAAGGAAAAAACAAGAAACAGAACAAGGAAGAGGAAAACTTTACTTACTATCATGCTAAACACTAAGGC